TCCGGACTCGAATCCCACTTGCATGGCCTACATGCCACAGTATTTCTATAATTCTACATCTCAAGAATGTGAAGAGTTCATTTATGGAGGCTGTGGAGGAAACCAGAACAGGTTTGGGTCAAAGAAGAAGTGTTTGGAGACCTGCTATCGTCCTGCCGTCACTGAGGTCAGTGTTGTTTTGTTCAATAACCAATCACGCTCCATCATTTGTTAAAAGTCAAATGTTGTGCTTTTACAGAAGGTGAATTTAGATTCCACTCTTCTAAAATACAAAGGTAATATTTTCTCTTGTCTTTATCCTTTCCAAAAAGCAGTAGACATGTTTACAACTATGATATTCTTTAATATTTCTGCTGCTTGGTTTTATTGACCCTAATTCAACCTTTAGGAGCCTGTAACTTACCTGCAGAGTCTGGACCATGCATGGGATACATGCCCATGTATTTCTACAACGGTACCTCTGGACAATGTGAAATATTTATATATGGAGGCTGTAAAGGCAATGCAAACCGATTCAAAGATTCAACTTCTTGTCAGATGTATTGTCGAGCTGTTCCTCCACTCAATTCAACTGGTAATGTATTCATCTTCATACATACAGTCAGTAAGTGTAAAACGTCTCACCACTGGCTTCGTCTGTGCAGAGGTGTGCAACCTCCCCCCAAAGACAGGGCCGTGTAATGCTCTTTTCCACAAACTTTACTACAACCCAGAAACTCAGAGATGTGAGCCCTTTATCTACGGCGGCTGTGAAGGAAACGCAAACAACTTTGACTCAGCTGAAGCGTGTCAGTTTGTGTGTCATCCCGACGGCAGCGACGTGGTGAGCACCAAGTCCAATATACTGATGATCAAATTATAACTAGATTTAACCTGTGTTTTTTAAACTGTAGATTACTCCACTTGTTGCAACAGGCAGAGCAGTCGATGGTAGGTCTCACACACGTAGTGTATGTACTGTGTGGTTTAGAAAAGCGTGGGGAGACACAGCTCCTCCTTCATGTTCAGAGGAGGTGATGAAATGGCCGCAGCAGTGACAGGTGTTCTTCTCTTTATGGATTAGAATGTTCAGTGGCACCTGAAGCTGGTCCTTGTCGCATGAATTTGCCAAGGTTCTTTTACAACTCCACTTCTCAGAAATGTGAATTATTCACATATGGAGGTTGTGATGGAAACAAAAACAGATTTGTGTCGGAGAGAGAGTGTCACCTAAACTGTCCTTTCAGAGGCCCTCGGGTAAATACTCAGATAATGTTTGATTATGTTGTATGTTAGAGTAACAGTATCCTCAATATATATATATTTTTATTTCAGATGCGCACTGTCGCACAACCAGAATCTAATGGTAACGTATCACAGAAAATAAGTTCAATATTATAATTTTGATTTGCACATCGCAGCGTCCTGTAAAACTCTCTCTCGTTGCAGTTTGTCTCCTTCCATCAGACCCAGGTCCGTGTGAGGCGTACATACCACGCTTCTACTTCAACAAAATCACTAAAAAATGTGAAGTATTTATTTATGGAGGCTGCCAAGGAAATCAGAATAATTTTATAGATAAAGCAGAATGCTTGAAAAAGTGTAAAAAATGATTAGGGATGACATCATCATAAACACAATAAAATGTTGCATTTCTGTGAATGTTTGAAAAACTGTTCCTGTTGTTATCCATCCATTCCCCTGGTACTTTTATGATTCTGGACTTATACTTCTCATTTGTGTCTCAGACGACATCCATTAGATTCACATTAAAAGCTCCTAAAATTAAGTATGAGACACTGAGAAATCTTTACGGAGATGAACACTCTAATAATAAAACCACCCATTCTACACTTTAAAACATTGATTAGATTATTAAAAAGCAAAGCAGCATTACTCTTTCACAAATCAACAGTGAAAAGAGTTTTTCACACATTTTTCACAGCAGTTTTCAAAGTCCAAGGGAAATGTAGAAAATTGAGCGTCGTGGATCATGACCGCAGCTGTTTTTGTTAGACCTATAAACTTTGCAGTTCATGTGCTGCTTTGATCTTGATTACATTTAAAAAAACACTGGTAGTTGAGTTGCAGTAAAAATAAAATCAAAAGTTGTCTCGGTAAATCATTAGTTCAAAATGTAATGGATTCAATTGAACTAATGGAAAGTATAGACCTTTTATTTTGAGTTGACATCCAACTTTCCATTATTGGGGGACGTGAGGATGTGCCACATGTGTTTTTACTCTGTCCAGTTTTGCCCACGCCTTCTTTTTTTCTATACTGGAAAATACAAAAAAATCTAAATTGCAAATAACAGTGGTAAAATGATTGTATTATCATTGTATCCCCCCAAAGACAGGGTCGTGTAAAGCGCTTTTCCACAAACTGTACTACAACCCAGAAACTCAGAGATGTGAGCCTTTATCTACGGCGGCTGTGAAGGAAACGCACTTTGACTCAGCTGAAGCGTGTCAGTCTGTGTGTCATCCCGACGGCAGCGATTAAATAAATGTATGTCTATGGCTCATATAATAGATTAATAAAATCAACTAAGTTTTTTTTTTGTATTTTTTTTTTTTTTGTATTTTTATTATTTATTTCATTCATTCAAAAGTGACATCATGCAATCACCACAAGACCGCCAATCCAACATAGCATGAATGAAACGGAGCAGAGGAGAAGAACAAGTCTTATAATATCTGCCCCTTTTGTTGCTTCACACTTTACATGCTGTCTTTTAAAAAATGTGCATATATAAATATGTATATCTATATACATATGGTTACAATCATATACATATTTACAGTATTTTCTGATGTTTTTGTATTCTATTTAATTATTTACAATATATACAATAAAATACCGAACTGTCATATTCCTAAAATGTTTACAAATGGTCAAAAAAGAAACAAACCATATTCATGTTTGTTTGTTCATCATATTCAATCAAATATCTCACACTATTCCTGTCCAAGTCTAATTTTCATACTTCTTTAACATTGCAGCTTTTATGTGTTTTTTGAACTCCAAGAGAGTTCCTGACTCTTTCACTTCTTTTTGAAGTTTATTCCATAGACTAATTCCTGTCACTGTAACAGTTTGTTCCATTGCTTTCGAATTGAACCTGGGTTTTTTAAAGATGTCTGTGCCTTTCAGATTATATTGGCTTTCTCTTTTCTCATACCTTATTTGGATGTTCACTGGCAATATTTTTTGATTTGCTTTATACAAAACCTGCAGGATATTGTAGTCAACTATATCCTCAAATTTTAGTAGCTTACATTTAATAAATAGTGGATTTGATGGATCTCTATATCTAATATTATGTATTGTTTTCAAAGCCCGTTTTTGTAGAATGAACAGTGGCTGTATATAGGTTTTATAGGTTGAACCCCAAATTTCCACACAGTAAGTTAAATATGGCATAATCATTGTGCTGTATAAAGCAAGTAACGCGGATTGATTTAGGGAGAATTTAACTTTATGTAACACCGCAATAGATTTGGCTATTTTTCCTCTTGTGTAATTTATATGTGACTTCCATTTGAGGTCCTCATCAATGATGACGCCTAAAAATGTAGTTTCTTGAACCCTTTGAATTTCCGTACCGTCTATTTTTATTGGTATATTCAATATTTTTCGTTTGTCATTGAATATTCTAAATTTAGTTTTTTTAACATTGAGAGCCACTTTATTTAGGTCAAACCAATGTTTTATTTTTTGGAGTTCTTCGTTTACTACTTCTGTTATCTCCTGTATGTCTTTCCCTGAGTAAAATAATGTTGTATCATCGGCAAATAAAATACTTTGCAGTTTATCTGATGCTTTTACAAAGTCATTCATGTATAATATGAACAATAATGGCCCAAGTATCGAGCCTTGGGGAACCCCCCAGTTGATGTCACGTAAGTTTGATGCTGTGTCATTTATTTGAACATATTGCTTTCTATTTTCTAAATAGCTTGAGATCCATTTATGAGCGATACCTCTAATTCCATATTTTTCTAGTTTCCAAAGTAGTCTTGAGTGATTAATTACATCAAATGCCTTTTGTAGGTCAATGAAAATACCTACACAATAGTTTTTATTATTTATTTCTCTTGCTATTTTTTCAGTTAACTCCATTATAGCCATAATAATGTAGATCATAATATCCTCTTTTTGTATGAATTTGTGCAATCTTGCTGCAAACACTTGTTCTAAAATTTTTGAAAATTGTGGCAATAAAGACACTGGTCTGTAATTTGAAAAATCATGCTTGTCTCCATTTTTGTAAATAGGTACAATTTTAGTTTTTTTCATTTTCTCAGGAAAAGTTCCTGTTGTTAATGACAGATTACAGATATAAGTGAATGGTTCAATAATAGGTTCAATTATGTTTTTTATGATCATCATGTCTAAACCTTCACAGTCAGTTGATCTCTTGTTTCCACAATTTTTCACAATTTTTCTTATTTCATCTATTTCCACATTGTCAATGAATATACTGTTTAAATGGTCTGTGATTGTATTTTCCGTTTTATGTGTTATTTGGGGTATTTTTTCTGCAATTGTAGATCCTACATTTGCAAAATATTTACAGAACTCATTTGAAATTTTATTCACCTCAGATATTTCAATATTTTCTTTAACAAAATAATTTGGGTATGCGCTTTTGGTGTTATTTCCCTTAACAACAGAGTTAATTATTCCCCATGTAGCTTTAATATTATTTTTGTTCTCCTTTAGTTGGGTCTAAAACATATTTAAATTTCTGCTGTAGCAAAAGATGAGCGTCCCTCAAGTTGCAGTTGAGAACCTTCTCGTTCCCAGTTTAAGTCTTCACATGTCCACATCGCCTTCTCTCAGACTGAACAGCTGAATACATCTTATAAGAAGATTTAAAGTGAGCATGCTGAGGTCTTATTTGTTCATGTTTATTATTCATTAGGGGTGTTGTGGGGGTATCTTCTGGGCTATTAACATTTGTTGCACATTCAGGTCATAAATTGCAATCTGAAGACCACCTCGCTTCACTTCACTCAGTTTTCTTTCAGAAAGTCTCCATCTACAAAAAATAAAAGTGAGTGATCAATGTAATCAATGTAAACATATAAACAGTGTGAGCTCTCACCATCTTTGACTACCCCACAGTACTCTTCACACTCAGCTTTACTGTAGAACTTGTTTCCATTGGTTTGACAGAAGCCTATTTTGTAAGGGACACACAAACCAACCGTGGAGTCAAAGGCCCAGGTGGAGGACTTTGCAATGCAGGGCTCAGCCACCAGGGGGAGACGGCACACAGCTGAGTGAAAGCAACAGGAATCACACATGTTAGTCAAGCCTCATATCTGACAAGAGCATACAAAAATAAAGGCATATAGGAAGATTTTCTACTTCCGGGTGGATAATCATGACAATTGGTCCTCCTAATTGTCAATTATTCTGGTACATGCTCGTCAAATAAGACCAGGGAGTTTTGTTCAAAAAGTGGAGAGAGCGGTTCTTACTTAAAATTTGAAATCGCCCTATATCCCTTTAAGTTACAGCATTTTGTTACAGTATTTTCCTACGGTACTTCCTAATGAGACATAGCATAGGCATGAGCAATGCAGGTTGGTGAGGGTCACCACACACCTTCCAGATGATTGCTCAAGCAACTTTTAGACGTTTTTAAACTGGAAGTCAGTCTGATCAGTCTTCAGTCTTATGAAAGTGATGTCATAGGGACTGTGGGCTTCTGAAGTAAACCCACTCTAATAGACCTGTAATGTGAACCTGCTCATAAGGTTTTCATTCATAGAGTGAGATGTCTTACCCTCAGTGCGACATCTCTGCAGGCAGTCTCTCTCATTCTCAAAGTTGTTCTGATTTCCCAAACAACCTCCATACTTGAACATCTGACAGGTCATGGACGAGGCGTTGTAGAAGAAACGCTGATTCATTCCAAAACAGGGGCCAGTGTCCGGAGCTGCCTTACAAGCTACTGCAAGATAATTTATTTGCATAATATTATTTGCATCATAGTTCAAACCCCATGGTTCAAACACACATGCAAGTTATTTGAAGTTATATGTTTCAATCACAAGTTAACTATGGCATCAATGCGATTAATCACAATACAATTAGTTATTGAGATAATGTGAAGTTTTTGTCAATGCAGCCCATAGTGTGTGTACCCGTTCCATTGAAGAGAGGAGTATCATCGTCTCCACCAGAGCCTTCAGTGTCAAGGTGAGCAAAAGTAGGGACCACAGACCTCCGAACTCTCTGATGGAAAGAATTCAGTTTTAAACTAGATCTAGATTTATAAATAGGCCATTCAGATTAAAATGGATTACCGGAGTCTCTGGTTGAGTGGATGGAGCCGGCACTTGCTCTCCAGGGATACAGTCCCCTGCAAAAGACTCAGATGGTTAAAGTTGGGGTCAGAATATTTTTTCATATTTCATTTTTTCCCAACAGAAAGAATCTTGTAAAAGTATAAATTTGAGAAACAAATCAGGCAACAATATGCGTCCTTAATCATATTAGAAAACATCCGATCCTTTGCAAACTTGAAAATGCAAATTATTGATTTGGGCAATAAAAACATGTTAAAGTGGCAGGTCGGGCTGGGCAGTCCGCAGGTGTAGATCCAGGACCCTTCTTATTTTTATTATCTCTTTCTGACTGTTGCACTGAGCCAAAGCAATTTCCAAGTCTGTGACCTCCTGTTACTCACGTGGCAATAAAAATGATTCTGATTCTGATTCTACAGCTTTAAGATCAGGTTAAATGAACAAACAATGGACTGAACAAAACTGAAATTACCTTTGTTTTGTTTGATTGTGATAAACTCGTTGCTTATTCCTTGTTGTCTGGCCAGTGTCTTGAAGTCTTCCAAAATGGTGGGCCTTATGTCTTTAGAACGACCTGTCATTGAGATACAACAATTCAGAATACTTTTCATGTCTTTGATGAGGTCTTTTTTTTTTTTTACAAGAACAGTGTGCAATAAAATTAGACAAAAGGAGAGATGCATTGTACAAACCAGTAGGAATGTTAATTTACACCTGTAGTTAGAGAACACGGTTGTTGTCACACTAAAACAAAGGTAGTTGGGTACATGACTCTACATGCATTATCAAACAGAGGTTACAATTTAATTTAATATACTATGAGGAACTGGGTACAGCTCTGACAGCCACCCCCCTGACCCAGAAATGTATTATGGGGAAGAAAATGGATGGAAGGATAATAATAATAATAATAATAATAATAATAATAATGATAATGATAATGATAATAATAATGATAATAATAATAATAATAATAATGATAATAATAATAATAATAATAATAATAATAATAATAATAATGATAATAATGATAATTATAATAATAATAATAATAATAATAATAATGATAATAATAATAATAATAATAATGCATCAGTTTTCTATAGCGCTTTTCTTTTTTAAAGACTTTATTGTGTCTTCATTTGGCAGAGTGAATGTACAGACTTAGCAGATAATGCGCTTTTTAAGAGTTTCATGAGAGTGATAATAAACTACTACTGTAGCCACAGCTGCCCTGGGGCACACTGACAGAGGTGAAGTAACCAGTATGTGCCATGGCCCTCCGACCACCACCAACCATTCACACACATCAGACTCTTTCTATGTAATGTGGGCAAAGTGTCTTGCCTAAGGACACAACAATAGTTTGCCACTTTACCGCTGCAGTACTAACCAGGCCCTGCCCTGCACAGCTTCAGAGATCAGAAGATGAGATCTTCAGAGATGACAAGATGTGGCTTTCACAGTGAATATATATTATGTGAGTATAAACTCAAGAGGCCCCTGAACAGATCTAGAGCCTGGGACCAGCTTGCCCAGGGCTCTAAATCTAAAACAAGAACAATCTCTAAAAAAGTGGCAAAACTTCATACTGTTCTCACCGTAAAGCTTCACTGAGACACTGTCGCCTGTTGGTTTCTTCTTGTTCATAATGAAAATAGCATATTCATTATAGTTTGTGTGGACAACATATGCATCCACGTCAGCGTTCCACTCTAAAGGAAAACAAAACACATATTTCAACAGACTGAAAGGCCCCGCTGGAGTCTCATGTTAAAGTTTCTCACTTGCAACATGATAGAAAAATCTCCCTGGAGTTGATGCCAGCTCATATTCCCCAGTTATCTGCAGACAGAGGTTTTGCCTACACAAAAGCATTAGATCAGATGCTGTGTAGGATTCAAGATGGGATTTAGAAGATACAGAATGTGCAGCTAAAATACGGAGCACTCTTCCAAAGAACGTCAGACAGTTTATGTGCCCTGTGAGTCATTAATAGACTGATTGGGCTGAGAGCTGAACAAGGGCGGTCTTCTCTTTTAAAGTTTCTGTATTAATAAAAAGCAAGTCTAAAGTGTGAAAACTAGAGATGTTTTGACTGTGGGGAGCAAATGAGATGAAATCTTATGGTACAAGTGTTTGTGGTTTGAAAGCTATGCATTAGCAGCTTTAGTATTTGAATTAGATTTGTAAAGTATTGTATATTTTCTAGTTCTGTAAAGCTCTTTCATAGGAATATATAAGTTTCTTGCTTTGTACCATTTGTGTTTTTTACCATGTACCGTTTCTGTTTCTATGTTTTGATCCGAGACCAGACCAATGTGCACGTACAGCTGGATATAACTCTATTTTTCATTGTTAGCCAATAGAAAAAGTACAAGCTTTAGAAGGACAATGAATGATGAATCAGACATTGTCCGGAGAGAATGTCGGATTCATAATTAGGATTAAACATTGATGAACCTGGACCAGTATAAATATATTCACTCACAAACAAACTAGCTAAACTGTCAATTGTTGCGTCTGCAGTTTATTTTTTATTTTTTTTGAAGAAGGTCCTTTTTTTGTCCCACAATGGGGAAATTTCAGCTCAATACATACACATACAAATACACATATACACAAACACATCAAGGCAAGCGCTCATAGGCATTACTACAAACTTTTGTCTAAGCTTAACTCTGCTTCAAATGGTTCTCAAACAGTTTTTACAACATTTTTGAGGTGTTTCAGAAAAAAGAGTGGGTGAGATTGAAGAATAAATCCATATTTTGACATACTTGAGCATAGTGCGTGTCATCTTGAGGGTCTGTCCGGCCCCTCTTTGGAGGACCAGTTTGCCGATGGCTGCGTCCCCTCTGCGGTGCTGCGAATGGGTGCACTTTGTAGCGACAGCCAAATCATACCAGGTCCCCAAAAACTAACAAGACAGCATGGATTTTATTAAGGAACACATGTCATGAGATAAGGATTTGTGAATGTAACTCGCCGCATTTCACCCACTATTTGTTTGACAATTACAGCATTTTCCCCCTGTATCATGCAAATATAAATAATAAAGTAATAAAGCATTGAGACAACTTGTACGAATCCGAAATATATCCTAATTCATGATTTATGAAATATGATTACATTTATGAAAATTCTGGCGCAATTGTGCAAATACATAAATCCAACCATGAGAAATATAAATATGTATTAGGCCATCTGCGCGTGTTGCTGACCTGAGTGAGATCGAAATGTTCCTGTGTGGGGTACAGTGGCTCCGTGGGCATCGGGACAGCGTGGAGGCTCCATGTCCATCCCAGCAGCAGCACCGAGAGCAGCGTCCACGGCATGATGGTGGCTTCTCAGTCTGTGGAGAGTCCAGAGACGGTTCAGGAGCGACCTTTGTGAAGTGTTCTTTGCCGCAGAAAGCAAACAGGTCTAGAGCAAAGTTCCACTCAACTGTGTTTGTGGAATCTGACCATAGAATCAATACAACAGAAATGAGGTTACACAAGGTTTTTACAGAATAATGACTGTTTAATATGATATAATGATTGAAGACATGAAGTGCCACGTGACACCCAGTAGCTACTTAAAACTATAAATAATGTGGTATGGAAGGGGAAAGTCCTCAAAATGTTTTATGGAACAGGAAACTCAAACAGATGACAACTGCATATAGCTCTATTTTTGAGTCTTGTCTATAAATTAAAAAAATACATAATTTAAACATTTCTGTATCTTTCTTGTTGCATGCTGTGTATACTGTATTATATCTGCTGAAAGGTAAAGTATAATTTGTATGTGTTAATAATAAATCTGTAAAAAAAAAATTAAAAATATGTAAGGATTCACATACCTCCAAAGAGAACCTGACCGTTTTGAAGAGAAGAAGCTCTTTAACTCATTGAAAGGCATGGGTTTATTTATTTGGTTGATTTGACACAAACAGTGTCCATTTATCAAAATTTCCTTAAAGGAGCTGTAAAAATCTGGCCAAAAGTGGTACTGCAGCCTCTCCCACTCTCCCCGACTCAGGTTGCCAGATATGCAGACGAATCCAGCTGGGACCATAATAACTGAATAAACAAGACAAATTATATCAAACACCTTTTTCCCAAAGGACCCAATAAAAATCCTCATTTTATTCATTGTTTTGTCATTAATGATTTGAGAATCATCACAAGTCCTTTTTAGTCCTGCGGCAACATAGTAAGTAAGTAAGTAAGTTTTTTATTTATATACCGCCTTTTCACTGCAGATCTGAGTCTCAAAGCGGTTTACAATTGTTAATTTTGGGCATTTGTCTCTCACTCCACACAGAGATGGGAGCGGGGCCAGTACAGGAGGCACATGCCAGAACTATTGGACATGTTTTTAGTGGTAGGGGAAACCGGAGTACCCGGAGGAAACCTACGCAGACACGGGGAGAACATGCAAACTCCACTCAGAAAGGCCCTGGTCCGACCGGGATTCGAACCCAGGACCTTCTTGCTGAGAGGCGAGAGTGCTATCCACTCAGCCACCGTGCCGCCATGGTTACTTTACATGGTTACACCGTGCCAACATGTTACTTTACCAGTGAGATTTGCTTGTTTAGCTTCATTAGCTCGGTGAGTTCTGGCGCCCGGATCACAGACTTTCTGATTTGTAAAACGGTGGACATCGAAATGAAAACAATAAAAAGATTTAGGGGCTGTAAAAATTACTTTGAAATTAAAATATCTCGGCTGATATCAAATATGCCTTTTGACATATTAAGGCCATTTGACGATGACATGAATAGCTTACATATTGCTAACTGACAAAATGATCCAAAAATTATACATTTTTCTTTATTGTATTTTTTTCCTTCAGCTAAAACACACAGGAAAAATTATGATAAAAATTTATTTTTATTGCTTATTTCTACCTGAGATGTTGGTGCAGTACAGTGTTGATGGTTTTACACTGGTCCAGACCAGAGCAGAGAGGATTCATGGTCCGAACCAAGTGGATCAGGTGAAAATCCACTGAAGGAATAATACGATTTTGAAAAATACTAATGAAGCATTTAGCATTTTACTTTGGACAAGAGCAAAGAAAATGGTCTGAGCCAAGCAGCTACTCCACCTTGTGACCACCTCTGCTGCTGTGACCCGTCCTGCCCCACCCAGAGGCTACTCCACATTGTGACCCGTCCTGCCCCACCCAGAGGCTACTCCACATTGTGACCCGTCCTGCCCCACCCAGAGGCTACTCCACCTTGTGACCCGTCCTGCCCCACCCAGAGGCTACTCCACATTGTGACCCGTCCTGCCCCACCCAGAGGCTACTCCACCTTGTGACCCGTCCTGCCCCACCCAGAGGCTACTCCACATTGTGACCCGTCCTGCCCCACCCAGAGGCTACTCCACCTCTTCTGCTGTGACCTGAAGTGCTGTTGCCGATTATTACTATTTTTTTACTTTTAGGAATTGAATAGACAGAACAAGCTGGTCAGGAGGGCCAGGAGGGTGCTTGTGAAAGTCCCCTCCATCATGGACAACACCTCCCACTGCACAGGACTGTAGAGGAGCTGAGGAGCTCCTTCAGTGGGAGACTGAGGCCCCCCCAGTGCAAGAAGAAGTACTACAGCAGGGCTTTTATCCCCATCACTCTCAGACTGTACAATTAGTCACTTTAATCACCTGCTCTAGGAATAAAAAAATTGCAACGCTATAGGCACTTTTACTGTTTTTATTGTACATAATCTATCTTGCACAACACTACATTTTAACTTTTTAATATGTTTAAGGACGCATATTGTTGCCTGATTTGTTTCTCAAATTTATACTTTTACAAGATTCTTTCTGTTGGGAAAAAATGAAATATGAAAAAATATTCTGACCCCAACTTTAACCATCTGAGTCTTTTGCAGGGGACTGTATCCCTGGAGAGCAAGTGCCGGCTCCATCCACTCAACCAGAGACTCCGGTAATCCATTTTAATCTGAATGGCCTATTTATAAATCTAGATCTAGTTTAAAACTGAATTCTTTCCATCAGAGAGTTCGGAGGTCTGTGGTCCCTACTTTTGCTCACCTTGACACTGAAGGCTCTGGTGGAGACGATGATACTCCTCTCTTCAATGGAACGGGTACACACACTATGGGCTGCATTGACAAAAAGTTCACATTATCTCAATAACTAATTGTATTGTGATTAATCGCATTGATGCCATAGTTAACTTGTGATTGAAACATATAACTTCAAATAACTTGCATGTGTGTTTGAACCATGGGGTTTGAACTATGATGCAAATAATATTATGCAAATAAATTATCTTGCAGTAGCTTGTAAGGCAGCTCCGGACACTGGCCCCTGTTTTGGAATGAATCAGCGTTTCTTCTACAACGCCTCGTCCATGACCTGTCAGATGTTCAAGTATGGAGGTTGTTTGGGAAATCAGAACAACTTTGAGAACCCTCAACACCCTCATCCCTGTTGCCCTTTGCTCCTCCACATCTTCTTCTCCCCTCACCACAAACAAAAATGACCCCCCATCTACCATCAGGTTTGCTCTTTTAAATGTACGCTCTCTTTTAAATAAGACTTTTACTGTAAACGATTTGATTTTAGAACACGAACTGGATGGTATGTTTTTAACTGAGACGTGGCTGGGTCCGGATGCTCCGGCTGTTCTTACAGAGGCTTCCCCTCCGATTTTAGCTTTGCTTTTAAAACAAGAGAAGGAAAGAGAGGTGGCGGCACAGCCTCAATATGCAGTAACGCCCTGGCCACCAAACCTATTGTTTTTAACCAATACTCAAGTTTTGAGTATCACTCTCTTGTTTTTAGCAACCCCAAAATTTTAACAGTAATTATTTATAGGCCACCTAAAAAGTGCAGCCTTTTTATTCATGAATTCTCAGCGTTTTTATCACAGTTACACAATTCTTACAACATGATAATTTTAACCGGTGATTTTAACATACACATTGACAATCCCTCTGACAATTTTACCCTAGATTTCTTAGATGTTCTTAATTACATGGATTTTACCCAACACGTCAGACAGCCAACACACAACAGGGGACGCACCCTCGACCTGGTCATTACCTATGGCCTGACTGCGGATGTGTCCTCTGTTGTCGACTTGGCTGTCTCGGACCACTACTGTGTGTTTTTTAACATTCACTGGTTTTATTCAGCGTGAGACCTCTGTGAGAACCGTGAGGAAGCGACATCTAACCCCTGAAGTGGCTGCAAATTTTATCGACATCCTAAACAACACTCCCCACTTGGTTTTACCTGCCCCCTGTGATTTTATAGCAAATGATTTTAACAGTAGACTTAGTTCCGCATTGGATCAAGTCGCTCCTTTAAAAACAAAAATCATAAAAACAAAATCTGTACCCCCATGGAGAAATGAGGAAGTACGGAAAATGAAACGAGAGTGCAGGGTGGCAGAACAAAGGTGGAGGAAAGATAAAATAACAATCAACTACGAACTATATAAAAGCAATCAAAAAGCATACAATAACACAATTAGAAATCATAAGAACAAATACTTTGCAAAGCTAATCACCCAAAATAAAAATAACCCAAAGGTCCTCTTTTCAACCATCGACACCATTTTAAACCCTGATTTTAGCATGTCTCTTTTAACCCCCACAGACTCCCTCTGTGAGGATTTTGCAGCCCACTTCACGGGGAAGATAAACACAATCAGATGTAACATTTTATCCAACCGCACAACTGTTTTTAACACATCTGATTGTTTGTCTTCACCAGAGGAAACACTGGACAGTTTTGTCCTGGTTGATGCTGAGATGCTTGATAAAGTTTTCTCCTCAGTGAGGCCCACCACATGTCTTTTAGATCCAGTCCCCACTCCATTTTTTAAGTCATTTTATGAATCTTTTAGAGAGGAGCTTTTAAACCTGATGAATTGCTCTCTTCAGACTGGGGTCTTTCCTGCAGCCTTCAAAGCGGCTGTGGTGAGGCCCCTTCTGAAGAAGAGCAATTTAGATTTTAATGATTTTAACAACTACAGACCGGTATCCAACCTGCCATTTTTAAGCAAAATTTTAGAAAAACTTGTTTTTACCCAGCTCAATGCCTTCTTAGATCAGCAACAAAGTTTAGAGAAATTTCAATCAGGATTTAGGGTGAACCACAGCACAGAGACTGCTCTTTTAAAGATTTTAAATGATTTTAGACTAAGTTATGATTCTAAAAAGGTGACCGTGTTGGTTCTACTGGATCTAAGCGCTGCCTTTGATACAGTAGACCACACCATTCTTTTATCCCGCCTGAAACACCTCGGCCTCTCTGGTGCTGTCCACAAATGGTTCACTTCTTATTTAACAGACAGATCCTTCATGGTAAGTTTGGATACCTGCTCCTCTCAGGTCCATAAAATCACATGTGGTGTGCCCCAGGGTTCCATTTTAGGTCCAGTCCTTTTTAAACTGTACATGCTCCCTCTTGGCGGTGTCGTCAGGAGACATGGAATTAACTTCCACAGTTATGCAGATGATACTCAGCTGTACATCTCCATGTCTCCTGATGACACCAGGGCAATGGATGCTCTTTTTAACTGCATTTTAGACCTGAAATCCTGGATGGCAGAAAACTTTCTCCAGCTCAACCAGGACAAAACTGAGGTTTTAGTCATCGGTCCTGAGGCCCAGAGAGAGAAACTTTTATCAAAACTCCAATCACACTCTTTTAATCCATCATCACAAGTGAGAAACCTGGGCGTAATCTTTGACTCTGAGCTGACTTTTATTCCTCACATCAAGAACATCACAAAAATAGGTTTTTATCATCTAAAGAACATCGCCAGAGTCCGCCCCATTCTCTCTCGGGGCAACACGGAGACGCTGATGCTTTTATCACCAGTCGCATTGATTACTGTAATGCCCTGCTCTCTGGTCTTCCCAAAAAGAACATTTCAGGTTTACAATTACTCCAAAACTCGGCCGCACGTGTCCTGACTAAGACCAGGGGGCGTGTCCTGACTAAGACCAGGGGCCGTGTCCTGACTAAGACCAGGGGGCGGGTCCTGACTAAGACCAGGGGGCGTGTCCTGACTAAGACCAGGGGGCGTGTCCTGACTAAGACCAGGGGGCGGGACCACATTACACCGGTTTTAAAATCGCTGCATTGGCTCCCCGTGTGTTTCAGGATCGATTTTAAGGTTCTTTTAATGGTTTTTAAATGTCTTAATGGTCTTGGGCCTTCTTATCTTTCAGATTTGCTTTTATCCTATGAACCTTCCCGGCCCCTGCGCTCCTCCGGCAGCAGACTTCTAACCATCCCCAAAGTCAGGACACACACTCACGGTGAGGCATCTTTCCAGCACTACGGCCCCCGTCTCTGGAACAGTCTGCCGGAGGAGCTCAGGGCCGCAGAGAACGTTCATATTTTTAAAAGCAGGCTCAAGACGCACCTTTTTAGAATAACTTTTGATTAGTTTTTACTATTTCATTTTATATATTCTATTTATCCTCTATTATTTATTGTATTGCTATTGTTTTTATTCATGTATTGTGTGTTAGTTCATTTTAGTTTCATTTTAGTTTCACATTTTTGTGTTTTACATATTGTATTGTTTTTAGTGTACCCAGTGTTTCCTCTGGAGGAGCCCTCTGCACTGGGAGCAGTGGTCGGTGTAGCTGTGGGGGTCGGACTCTTGGACCTGGTGGGGGCCTGGGGCCTCGGTTTCGGGTCTCCTCTAGATCCTGTGTCGTCCCCTGTGGCTACAGGCGGCTCTCTGCTCCTGGTGCAGACGGCTCCTAGGATGACGCTTTTTCAACTGGTTGCATCCGAACCCTGCCAAGTCTCTCATCATTGTTTTACTGTTTTACTTGTGTGTGTGTGTGTGTGTGTGTGTGTGTGTGTGTGTGTGTGTGTGTGTGTGTGTGTGTGTGTGTGTGTGTGTGTGTGTGTGTGTGTGTGTGTGTGTGTGTGTGTGTGTGTGTGTGTGTGTGTGTGTGTGTGTGTGTGTGTGTGCATGGGAGCGTGTGTGTGTTTGTCTGTGGTTTGGGATGGGTCTGTTGGGTGGTCGGGGGGAGGGGACATGGGTCGGCGGGATTGTTTTTAACCAAACTGTAAAGCACTTTGTGTTGCATCTTTTGTATGAAAAGCGCTTCATAAATAAAATTTGATTGATTGATTGATTGAGAGAGACTGCCTGCAGAGATGTCGCACTGAGGGTAAGACATCTCACTCTATGAATGAAAACCTTATGAGCAGGTTCACATTACAGGTCTATTAGAGTGGGTTTACTTCAGAAGCCCACAGTCCCTATGACATCACTTTCATAAGACTGAAGACTGACCAGACTGACTTCCAGTTTAAAAACGTCTAAAAGTTGCTTGAGCAATCATCTGGAAGGTGTGTGGTGACCCTCACCAACCTCATGCCTATGCTATGTCTCATTAGGAAGTACCGTAGGAAAATACTGTAACAAAATGCTGTAACTTAAAGGGATATAGGGCGATTTCAAATTTTAAGTAAGAACCGCTCTCTCCACTTTTTGAACAAAACTCCCTGGTCTTATTTGACGAGCATGTATCACGAGAATAATTGACAATTAGGAGGACCAATTGTCATGATTATCCACCCGGAAGTAGAAAATCTTCCTATATGCCTTTATTTTTGTATGCTCTTGTCAGATATGAGGCTTGACTAACATGTGTGATTCCTGTTGCTTTCACTCAGCTGTGTGCCGTCTCCCCCTGGTGGCTGAGCCCTGCATTGCAAAGTCCTCCACCTGGGCCTTTGACTCCACGGTTGGTTTGTGTGTCCCTTACAAAATAGGCTTCTGTCAAACCAATGGAAACAAGTTCTACAGTAAAGCTGAGTGTGAAGAGTACTGTGGGGTAGTCAAAGATGGTGAGAGCTCACACTGTTTATATGTTTACATTGATTACATTGATCACTCACTTTTATTTTTTGTAGATGGAGACTTTCTGAAAGGAAACTGAGTGAAGTGAAGTGAGGTGATCTTCAGATTGCAATTTATGACCTGAATGTGCAACAAATGTTAATAGCCCAGAAGATACCCCCACAACACCCCTAATGAATAATAAACATGAACAAATAAGACCTCAGCATGCCATGTGTATATATGTTCATACCTGTCGTCTATTGGTAAGAAAGAGCACGGTGAGGGATTGTCTGATTGTCTGACTGAGTAATTGCCCCTCTCTTTTTGACTGAACAACCTTATCTCATTGTGCGGCCAAAAATAGATGCACCTTAAAAGTACTTACCACTATTTTGAGATACATGGATTGTATTACGTTCATTATAGTCCAAATGTAAGATTTTTTCATACTTTAAATCTTCTTATAAGATGTATTCAGCTGTTCAGTCTGAGAGAAGGCGATGTGGACATGTGAAGACTTAAACTGGGAACGAGAAGGTTCTCAACTGCAACTTGAGGGAAGCTCATCTTTTGCTACGGCAGAAATTTAAATATCTTTTAGACCCAATTTAGTTGATTTTATTAATCTATTCTACGTCATAGTGCTACGTCCCTTAGGACTTCGCTAGTGGGATATCACTCGTGACCCCCAGGTCACACGCCAGAGAGATCAAAATAATTTGCTCCAATCACCAGCCACCATCCTCTATAAATGCCCCTGCACACAGCCGCACCCCCTCTTTCACTCTGGCGCCGATTGAGATCTACACAGTTTCAATTATTACCAGAAAAAAAAAAAAGATGTCTTCTGATGCTCGTCCGAGTTCCCCTTCGCCCTCCGGCGTCGGACGTCGTTGTGCTCGACGTGTCGAGTCAGGCTCCAGCGCACGGACCAGCACTCCAGCTGCTTCATGTGCCTGGGCCCGGGCCATGCGGCGTTGAGCGCCACCTGAGCCTCGTGTCTCGCTCTCCCCAGGGAGGAGAGCGAACGCAGGCGTGCGTACCACGCCGCTACAGCGCCCCGTCCGGACTCCTCTCAGGACGAGGAGTCTGAGACTGACTGGGCCCCTCTCGACCTTCCACCCGTGCCCGCGGAGTGGGGTGACTGCGAGGACGGAGAGGTGTCGGAGGTCGGCTCTCTCCTCACGCTGGACGAGGTGGTGTCGAACCCGGAGCCGGACCGCTTCCCACTGGACCACATGCCTGGGCTCTACTCCACTGCGGCGGCCATCATGGATGCCCCCCTGCCACCGCAGCCGACCCAGAGGGTGGAGGACTTCACCTCTGGTTACGCCACCACTCGAGGGAGGAGGAGGACACAGCCCACGTTGTGCCAGCGGATGGACCCGATCGTCCATTACGCGACACGTGAGTGGCCAAAGCCCCTAGCGGCCAAGAGGCCTGCTTTGGGCTACGGTATGTACTGCAACGTGCAGGACTGGTCCTGGACCGGCGGGGTCCCGGACATCGAGGATTCGGTCCGCATGGCCCTGCACCCCTCCGCATCCGTGTGGCCCGGCACCAGACCTCTCCTTCCCTCCGAGCGGGACAGGACGTCTTTGGCGATGCACGACAGATGTTACGCCAATGCGGCACAGGTCGTCGCTGTGGCGAACAACATGGCTTTCATCACGGGGGCCCTGGATAGGTCGCTCTCTTCTGGCCAGGCGCTCAGTGGAGACACCTTATCTCAGGCAAGGACCACTTCAGCGGCGATCCTGCGCATGTGCCAGGCGCTAGCTGTCGATGGCGGCCGCACCATGGCAGCAGCTCAAGTCGGGGCCAGGCACCTCTGGCTTGGGCTTGCGAACATCAGAGAGGCGGAGGAGAGGCAGCTGCTGGACCTGCCTATCTCCCAGACGTCTCTTTTCGGTCCGGACATGCAGACCCTGGTGGCTAGACTGGAGACCGCAGCCAAGGACTCGGCTAGCCTAGCCCAGCACCTAGCGCCGAGGCGCGAGGCCCGCCCACCAGCGCGGAGCCGAGACAGAGGCAGGGAGCGTTCGCCCGGGAGGCGCCCTGGCCCATATCCACGCTCCGTGGCCTATCGTCCCCCCTCGACGAGGCCCCCGGGTCCAGACAGACACACGGGAGGCTCGCGGGACCAACGCACCCACCGCCGACCTCCCTATGGTAGAGGAGGTCGGGGTGGGAAGAATTCTTTCAATAAAGGCCGACCGGCATTTCATCAGTACTCGCTGTCTGAGTCTCATTTGGGGGTATGTAACATGTCAAATGATCTGAATTCTGATTGTGTTACTTATCGAGCACATAACGTGGCTTCGCTAGGCCTGCAGCCCCCAGAGAAGGGTGTTCCGATTCACGGGTTCATGCTATGCCCTCCCAGAGAGAGGTCAGGCGGAGGGATCTGGTGAGTAATGATGTGTGTGCTTCGGCCGAACGCGTGTTAGCATCTCTGAGCTACAAGGCTAACACGGGGTTTCCCACTCCAGGGGCTCGCCCCCCCCCTACATGAGGCAAGAGCCAGGGGGGGGCACAGCAGCCGAGTCACGTGTGGTGAGCAGTCCCGTACTTATGACGTCGGGCCTGCAGAACACGTGACCGCCCCCGGCGCTCACGGTGTGACGCAGGGGGCCCCCCGGCCCTTTCGGCCACCCCCCCTCCCTGCTAGGAACACCAGGAGAGGGCGGGGCCGTGACGTCTCGTGTTCCAGCTCCCGTTCCGCCCCTCACAGACTTCTACAGCATCTGGAGGGAGCAGGGCCTACTGACAGATACTTGGCTGGAGAAAACTCTGCGCAGAGGTTACGCACTGCAATTCTTCCGAAAACCACCACCATTCCGAGGCGTACGGGCAGCACGCTCTCAGGTACGGGGATCGATAGAGGCACTGCAAGCGGAGGTCTCCTCTCTGCTGAGTCGAGGCGCAGCAGTGGAGGTAGACCCGCAGGACGCCACCAGGGGGCTGTACTCCCCTTACTTCTTAGTGCCAAAGAAGTCAGGCGGGGTGCGTCCCATTCTGGATCTGCGCGTGTTGAACGAGTGCATTTCCAAACGGCAGTTTCGGATGCTGTCCACAAAGCAGCTCCTCGAGTGTGTCAGGGAGGGAGACTGGATGACATCCATAGACCTGACAGATGCGTACTTCCACGTGCCCAGAGTGCCAGAACACAGGAGGTTTCTGCGCTTCGCGGTGGGAGAGAGGAATTACGAGTACTGCCGTCTTCCCTTCGGTTATGCACTCGCGCCTCGGTCTTTTTCCAAATGCGTGGAGGCAGCACTGGAGCCGCTCAGACGCGCAGGGGTAAGAATTTTAACCTACATAGACGACTGGTTAATTCTGGCATCATCCAGGGAAGTGGCCGTGAGCCACACGCACTGGGTCCTGTCCCACATACAGCGTCTGGGCTTTGTGGTGAACAGGGAAAAGAGCAAGCTGCAGCCAGCTCAACGCATGATTTATCTCGGTCTGCAGTTGGACTCTGTGACATTCCGTGCTGCATTGTCCGTGGACAGACGGATCAATATTACCCGTCTGGCCCGGGAGGTTCTGGCGGGCCCCAGAGTCCCCGCTCGGCGCCTCAGGTCCCTGCTGGGAATGAGGGCGGCGGCTCATGCTGTGGTGCGGCTAGGCCTGCTCCACATGAGGAATTTTCAGAGGTGGTTCTCGCGCCTCAGGCTTCACCCCTCCCGGGACGGGGGGAGGCTGATCTGGGTTCCCCAAGTGGCAGCATCGGACATCAGGTTCTGGCTCACTCCGGGTCTATTGCGGGACGGAGTGACTCTGACCTGCGCCGTGTCTCACGTGGAGGTGTTCACGGACGCGTCGCTCGAAGGATGGGGCGGGGTCCTCGGCCAGAGCTCTGTAGGAGGCTGCTGGTCGGACTCAGCCCGTCACATCAACCTGCTGGAAATGGAGGCAGTGCACAGAGTACTGCTGCACTTTGCTCCTCAGCTGCAGGGGAGACACGTGATGGTGCGCTCAGACAACACCACAGTGGTCTCATATCTGAACAGGCAGGGGGGCACCAGGTCCCCCGCTCTCCATCGCATGGCGACGGTGACGCTGCTGTGGGCGGCGCTTCACCTCCTGTCTCTCAGGGCGCGCCACGTCCCGGGGGTCCGGAACGTGGGGGCCGACAGGATGTCCAGGGGGGGCCCGCTCCAGGACGAGTGGGGCCTGGCCCCGCAGGTAGCTGCGGAGATCTGGCGGAGGTTTGGCCGTCCAGTGGTCGACCTTTTCGCCAGTGCAGAGAACGCACAGTGCCCGTCCTGGTTCGCCTTAAGGGCCGCGGACGAGCCGCCCTTAGGCGTGGACGCTCTGGCTCATTACCCATGGCCAGGCGGCCTGTTGTACGCTTTTCCACCGGTGCGTCTCCTGCCGGTCCTGCAGGACCAAACAGGATCAAACAGGAGAGGAGGTCGGTGATCCTGGTGGCTCCGGACAGTCCGCATGCCCGGTGGTTCCCCTTCCTGAGGGGCATGGCGGTGATGGAGCCCTGGGCCCTCCCGGACGAGCCGGGGGCTCTAGTCCAGGGGGGAGGAGCCCTGTTTTCACGCCCGATAATCGGCCGCAGGCTCTGGGTTTGGAGGCTGAGAGGCGGAACCTCGTAGACCTGGGTCTTCCCCCTGCGGTGGTGGAGACCATTCAGGGGGCGAGGGCGCCGTCCACTGTGAGGGCCTACGCCACGAGGTGGAGGCTCTTCAGTGTCTGGTGCGGTTCCCGTTCCTGGGATCCCAGGCGTTGCCTGCTGGAGGGGGTCCTGGGATTCCTACAGGAGCTCTTTGACAAGGGGAGGGCTGTCGCCACCTTGGCGGTGTTCGCGGCAGCCATTACTTTGGGTCACGACGGATTCGGGGGGTTCACAGCCCGCTCTCATCCGTTGGTTAAACGTTTTCTGCGGGGGGCGCGCAGGAGGAGGCCACCGGGTCGGTGGCCTATTCCGTGCTGAGTGCAGCGGACTGAGTTAGACCGTTAGGTCCCTCCTCTGAGGGTGCCTTCGGTTTCTTTCCGCCCTGGTTCAGGAGCTCTTGGGAGAGGCATCCTACAGGTGCGGTACATATATGTGTGTTTGGTCGGTCTGGTAGTCCACGTCAGGAGCTCTTGGGAGAGGCGTCCTGGGACTACGGATGACCTACGATCTGTGTTACGTGGGGGCATCCTTGGTAGGAGTGGCCCTGTAACACGCTTGTTTCTTCTGCCCTGAGTCCTCTCACGGTGTGAGGGTCTTGCTCGGGCGGAGCTCCAATCACCCTTCGCTGGCCTGCTGGGAGTACATGTTCCTACGGCCTCCGCGTAGTGTCCCACTAGCAAAGGCCTAAGGGACGTAGCACCATGACGTAGAATTAATAGTTACCTAATGTAACTTAAGTTCTACGAATAGGTGCGTAGTCCCTTAGCTACGAGCCCATCAGGCCAGCCCGGCTTGGCAGAGTTCAAGAGGGGGTGCGGCTGTGTGCAGGGGCATTTATAGAGGAAGGTCGCTGGTGATTGGAGCAAATTATATTGATCTCTCTGGCGTGTGACCTGGGGGTCACGAGTGATATCCCACTAGCGAAGTCCTAAGGGACTACGCACCTATTCGTAGAACTTAAGTTACATTAGGTAACTTAATTATATGAGCCATAGACATACATTTATTTAATCGCTGCCGTCGGGATGACACACAGACTGACACGCTTCAGCTGAGTCAAAGTGCGTTTCCTTCACAGCCGCCGTAGATAAAGGCTCACATCTCTGAGTTTCTGGGTTGTAGTACAGTTTGTGGAAAAGAGCTTTACACGGCCCTGTCTTTGGGGGGATACAATGATAATACAATCATTTTACCACTGTTATTTGCAATTTAGATTTTTTTGTATTTTGCAGTATAGAAAGACATGAACAAAACTGGACAAAGTAAAAACACATGTGGCACATCCTCACGTCCCCCAATAATGGAAAGTTGGATGTCAACTCAAAATAAAATGTCTATACTTTCCATTAGTTCAATTGAATCCATTACATTTTGAACTAATGATTTACCGAGACAACTTTTGATTTTATTTTTACTGCAACTCAACTACCAGTGTTTTTTTAAATGTAATCAAGATCAAAGCAGCACATGAACTGCAAAGTTTATAGGTCTAACAAAAACAGCTGCGGTCATGATCCACGACGCTCAATTTTCTACAACATTTCCCTTGGACTTTGAAAACTGCTGTGAAAAACTCTTTTCACTGTTGATTTTTGTGAAAGAGTAATGCTGCTTTGCTTTTTAATAATCTAATCAATGTTTTAAAGTGTAGAATGGGTGGTTTTATTATTAGAGTGTTCATCTCCGTAAAGATTTCTCAGTGTCTCATACTTAATTTTAGGAGCTTTTAATGTGAATCTAATGGATGTCGTCTGAGACACAAATGAGAAGTATAAGTCCAGAATCATAAAAGTACCAGGGGAATGGATGGATAACAACAGGAACAGTTTTTCAAACATTCACAGAAACATAAATGCAACATTTTATTGTGTTTATGATGATGTCATCCCTAATCATTTTTTACACTTTTTCAAGCATTCTGCTTTATCTATAAAATTATTCTGATTTCCTTGGCAGCCTCCATAAATAAATACTTCACATTTTTTAGTGATTTTGTTGAAGTAGAAGCGTGGTATGTACGCCTCACACGGACCTGGGTCTGATGGAAGGAGACAAACTGCAACGAGAGAGAGTTTTACAGGACGCTGCGATGTGCAAATCAAAATTATAATATTGAACTTATTTTCTGTGATACGTTACCATTAGATTCTGGTTGTGCGACAGTGCGCATCTGAAATAAAAAAAATATATATTGAGGATACTGTTACTCTAACATACAACATAATCAAACATTATCTGAGTATTTACCCGAGGGCCTCTGAAAGGACAGTTTAGGTGACACTCTCTCTCCGACACAAATCTGTTTTTGTTTCCATCACAACCTCCATATGTGAATAATTCACATTTCTGAGAAGTGGAGTTGTAAAAGAACCTTGGCAAATTCATGCGACAAGGACCAGCTTCAGGTGCCACTGAACATTCTAATCCATAAAGAGAAGAACACCTGTCACTGCTGCGGCCATTTCATCACCTCCTCTGAACATGAAGGAGGAGCTGTGTCTCCCCACGCTTTTCTAAACCACACAGTACATACACTACGTGTGTGAGACCTACCATCGACTGCTCTGCCTGTTGCAACAAGTGGAGTAATCTACAGTTTAAAAAACACAGGTTAAATCTAGTTATAATTTGATCATCAGTATATTGGACTTGGTGCTCACCACGTCGCTGCCGTCGGGATGACACACAAACTGACACGCTTCAGCTGAGTCAAAGTTGTTTGCGTTTCCTTCACAGCCGCCGTAGATAAAGGGCTCACATCTCTGAGTTTCTGGATTGTAGTAAAGTTTGTGGAAAAGAGCATGACACGGCCCTGTCTTTGGGGGGAGGTTGCACACCTCTGCACAGACGAAGCCAGTGGTGAGACGTTTTACACTTACTGACTGTATGTATGAAGATGAATACATTACCAGTTGAATTGAGTGGCGGAACAGCTCGACAATACATCTGACAAGAAGTTGAATCTTTGAATCGGTTTGCATTGCCTTTACAGCCTCCATATATAAATATTTCACATTGTCCAGAGGTACCGTTGTAGAAATACATGGGCATGTATCCCATGCATGGTCCAGACTCTGCAGGTAAGTTACAGGCTCCTAAAGGTTGAATTAGGGTCAATAAAACCAAGCAGCAGAAATATTAAAGAATATCATAGTTGTAAACGTGTCTACTGCTTTTTGGAAAGGATAAAGACAAGAGAAAATATTACCTTTGTATTTTAGAAGAGTGGAATCTAAATTCACCTTCTGTAAAAGCACAACATTTGACTTTTAACAATGATGGAGCGCGATTGGTTATTGAACAAAACAACACTGACCTCAGTGACGGCAGGACGATAGCAGGTCTCCAAACACTTCTTCTTTGACCCAAACCTGTTCTGGTTTCCTCCACAGCCTCCATAAATGAACTCTTCACATTCTTGAGATGTAGAATTATAGAAATACTGTGGCATGTAGGCCATGCAAGTGGGATTCGAGTCCGGACTGAGCTGGCAGAAGTCCGGAGTCTTTAAAAAAATTATAAAAAAAAAAGATTCAATGAACATCTTACAGATCCCCTTTCTGCTGCTGCAACCAAATGGCCCCTCTGAGATAATATAGATACCTTGAACCTTGATAGTACGTTAATACACATTTGTGCTGGAATTATTTAAATTCTTTGCAAATATGAAACGGGACTACATTACAGTATCACGTGATTAATATTTCAAGATGTCTCAATAGAACAAGAATTATATCAACATTTTTATTGCATTGTTGGTGAGAAATGTTGCAATTAGATACATTGACAAGCTGGCGCATTCTTCAAAATAAGCTGAAAGAGTGGTCCTCTCCACATCAGCGCTGCAGTGACCGATAAGCCATACTTCAGTTTTATAGCAAAATGTACTAATCCAAAGTTACATCTAAAGCCAAAAGGTCTGCCATTGTATCCTGTGAAGCACTAAGCCAAAACACATGATCATGCATGTGGTTTATGATTGTGTTTATGGGTATGTTTAGGGTTTTTCCTCTCCATACCTGATCCTTGTCAGCGCACAGTCCACATGGCATCAAGGAGCAAACCAGCACCAGAAGACAACCCAGGATCACAGAACTCTCCATCGTGCTGCATTTCACCCTGGTCTCCTCTCGCTTGTTTTATACCAGTGTCACGGCCCCTCCCTGCCTGACAGGGGCGTTTCCCTCTCAGGCAGGGTGGATCCAGTGATTGGGGCACCTGTGCTTAAAGAGCGACTAAACACCTGTGCCCAGCCTTACTCCGCCCGCATGAAGATTTGAAAATGTTCTCTAAAAAGGGCGTTGCCTGGAGGACCAAGGGACAAGAAGGGGGGCTTAGAGCTGGGCGTGGTCTGGGCTGTGATTGACAGCTCACTTGTCACACACAAAAAAAAAGCAGACAGTTGTCATTGCTGCTTAAAGCAATAGTTTACAGACCAGAAAGTCTCATTCCACCCTTGATTACACACTAAGATAATTGTAAGGGCCATGTTACATACTGGTTACTTCACCTCTGTCAGTGTGCCCCAGGGCAGCTGTGGCTACAGTAGTAGTTTATTATCACTCTCATGAAACTCTTAAAAAGCGCATTATCTGCTAAGTCTGTACATTCACTCTGCCAAATGAAGACACAATAAAGTCTTTAAAAAAGAAAAGCGCTATAGAAAACTGATGCATTATTATTATTATTATCATTATTATTATTATTATTATTATCATTATTATTATTATTATAATTATTATCATTATTATTATTATTATTATTATCATTATCATTATCATTATCATTATCATTATCATTATTATTATTATTATTATTATTATTATCATTATTATTATTATTATAATTATCATTATTATCATTATTATTATTATTATTATCATTATTATTATCATTATCATTATCATTATCATTATTATTATTATTATTATTATCCTTCCATCCATTTTCTTCCCCATAATACATTTCTGGGTCAGGGGGGTGGCTGTCAGAGCTGTACCCAGTTCCTCATAGTATATTAAATTAAATTGTAACCTCTGTTTGATAATGCATGTAGAGTCATGTACCCAACTACCTTTGTTTTAGTGTGACAACAACCGTGTTCTCTAACTACAGGTGTAAATTAACATTCCTACTGGTTTGTACAATGCATCTCTCCTTTTGTCTAATTTTATTGCACACTGTTCTTGTAAAAAAAAAAAAAGGACCTCATCAAAGACATGAAAAGTATTCTGAATTGTTGTATCTCAATGACAGGTCGTTCTAAAGACATAAGGCCCACCATTTTGGAAGACTTCAAGACACTGGCCAGACAACAAGGAATAAGCAACGAGTTTATCACAATCAAACAAAACAAAGGTAATTTCAGTTTTGTTCAGTCCATTGTTTGTTCATTTAACCTGATCTTAAAGCTGTAGAATCAGAATCAGAATCAGAATCATTTTTATTGCCACGTGAGTAACAGGAGGTCACAGACTTGGAAATTGCTTTGGCTCAGTGCAACAGTCAGAAAGAGATAATAAAAATAAGAAGGATCCTGGATCTACACCTGCGGACTGCCCAGCCCGACCTGCCACTTTAACATGTTTTTATTGCCCAAATCAATAATAGCAACTCAAGTTTGCAAAGGATCGGATGTTTTCTAATATGATTAAGGACGCATATTGTTGCCTGATTTGTTTCTCAAATTTATACTTTTACAAGATTCTTTCTGTTGGGAAAAAATGAAATATGAAAAAATATTCTGACCCCAACTTTAACCATCTGAGTCTTTTGCAGGGGACTGTATCCCTGGAGAGCAAGTGCCGGCTCCATCCACTCAACCAGAGACTCCGGTAATCCATTTTAATCTGAATGGCCTATTTATAAATCTAGATCTAGTTTAAAACTGAATTCTTTCCATCAGAGAGTTCGGAGGTCTGTGGTCCCTACTTTTGCTCACCTTGACACTGAAGGCTCTGGTGGAGACGATGATACTCCTCTCTTCAATGGAACGGGTACACACACTATGGGCTGCATTGACAAAAAGTTCACATTATCTCAATAACTAATTGTATTGTGATTAATCGCATTGATGCCATAGTTAACTTGTGATTGAAACATATAACTTCAAATAACTTGCATGTGTGTTTGAACCATGGGGTTTGAACTATGATGCAAATAATATTACGCAAATAAATTATCTTGCAGTAGCTTGTAAGGCAGCTCCGGACACTGGCCCCTGTTTTGGAATGAATCAGCGTTTCTTCTACAACGCCTCGTCCATGACCTGTGTTGCATAATTAAAATGTTGTATACTAATGATTTTGAAAATAGGCCCTCTGAAGAATGTGCACGGGGAAAAGCCCCAAGGACAAGGATTGCAAACAGGAATAAAGAGGGTCAAATGGAGAAACTACAATCAGTCATAGAGATACCAACTTTCAAAACGGGACAAATTATTAACTCCAGGAATAAACATTCTTGTCTCTCTGGCGAGGCCAAAAGTCCAAAAAACACCATCTCTCAGGCAGACTGGGAGATTCTCCAAAGGCATTCTGACGCCTCCCAGTGGACACGGGACGCCAGCACACCCGAAAAGAACATTCGGGAGACGCCCACAAGTGACGTCATCAGACGTCTTGATAAAACTGTTGGTTTGAGTTCTGGGGGGAAGGTTAGCGCAGGGGTAGAGGAGAGGGACATATTAGTTTAGGAGCACTTTTTTGTTGAATATTCTGTATCTGATTGTAAAGATAATTAAATGCAGATGTTAAACTTGGATATCTTCGTCTGATTTCTGTACCAAATTGTGGACACGCGAGCCAAAAGGGAGTATTTGGCTTCACCTGTCAGATGTTCAAGTATGGAGGTTGTTTGGGAAATCAGAACAACTTTGAGAATGAGAGAGACTGCCTGCAGAGATGTCGCACTGAGGGTAAGACATCTCACTCTATGAATGAAAACCTTATGAGCAGGTTCACATTACAGGTCTATTAGAGTGGGTTTACTTCAGAAGCCCACAGTCCCTATGAAATCACTTTCATAAGACTGAAGACTGATCAGACTGACTTCCAGTTTAAAAACGTCTAAGATAATAAAAGTTGCTTGAGCAATCATCTGGAAGGTGTGTGGTGACCCTCACCAACCTGCATTGCTCATGCCTATGCTATGTCTCATTAGGAAGTACCGTAGGAAAATACTGTAACAAAATGCTGTAACTTAAAGGGATATAGGGCGATTTCAAATTTTAAGTAAGAACCGCTCTCTCCACTTTTTGAACAAAACTCCCTGGTCTTATTTGACGAGCATGTACCAGAATAATTGACAATTAGGAGGACCAATTGTCATGATTATCCACCCGGAAGTAGAAAATCTTCCTATATGCCTTTATTTTTGTATGCTCTTGTCAGATATGAGGCTTGACTAACATGTGTGATTCATGTTGCTTTCACTCAGCTGTGTGCCGTCTCCCCCTGGTGGCTGAGCCCTGCATTGCAAAGTCCTCCACCTGGGCCTTTGACTCCACGGTTGGTTTGTGTGTCCCTTACAAAATAGGCTTCTGTCAAACCAATGGAAACAAGTTCTACAGTAAAGCTGAGTGTGAAGAGTACTGTGGGGTAGTCAAAGATGGTGAGAGCTCACACTGTTTATATGTTTACATTGATTACATTGATCACTCACTTTTATTTTTTGTAGATGGAGACTTTCTGAAAGGAAACTGAGTGAAGTGAAGTGAGGTGATCTTCAGATTGTAATTTATGACCTGAATGTGCAACAAATGTTAATAGCCCAGAAGATACCCCCACAACACCCCTAATGAATAATAAACATGAACAAATAAGACCTCAGGATGCCATGTGTATATATGTTCATACCTGTTGTCTATTGGTAAGAAAGAGCACGGTGAGGGATTGTCTGATTGTCTGACTGAGTAATTGCCCCTCTCTTTTTGACTGAACAACCTTATCTCATTGTGCGGCCAAAAATAGATGCACCTTAAAAGTACTTACCACTATTTTGAGATACATGGATTGTATTACGTTCATTATAGTCCAAATGTAAGATTTTTTCATACTTTAAATCTTCTTATAAGATGTATTCAGCTGTTCAGTCTGAGAGAAGGCGATGTGGACATGTGAAGACTTAAACTGGGAACGAGAAGGTTCTCAACTGCAACTTGAGGGAAGCTCATCTTTTGCTACGGCAGAAATTTAAATATCTTTTAGACCCAATTTAGTTGATTTTTATTAATCTATTCTACGTCATAGTGCTACGTCCCTTAGGACTTCGCTAGTGGGATATCACTCGTGACCCCCAGGTCACACGCCAGAGAGATCAAAATAATTTGCTCCAATCACCAGCCACCATCCTCTATAAATGCCCCTGCACACAGCCGCACCCCCTCTTTCACTCTGGCGCCGATTGAGATCTACACAGTTTCAATTATTACCAGAAAAAAAAAAAAGATGTCTTCTGATGCTCGTCCGAGTTCCCCTTCGCCCTCCGGCGTCGGACGTCGTTGTGCTCGACGTGTCGAGTCAGGCTCCAGCGCACGGACCAGCACTCCAGCTGCTTCATGTGCCTGGGCCCGGGCCATGCGGCGTTGAGCGCCACCTGAGCCTCGTGTCTCGCTCTCCCCAGGGAGGAGAGCGAACGCAGGCGTGCGTACCACGCCGCTACAGCGCCCCGTCCGGACTCCTCTCAGGACGAGGAGTCTGAGACTGACTGGGCCCCTCTCGACCTTCCACCCGTGCCCGCGGAGTGGGGTGACTGCGAGGACGGAGAGGTGTCGGAGGTCGGCTCTCTCCTCACGCTGGACGAGGTGGTGTCGAACCCGGAGCCGGACCGCTTCCCACTGGACCACATGCCTGGGCTCTACTCCACTGCGGCGGCCATCATGGATGCCCCCCTGCCACCGCAGCCGACCCAGAGGGTGGAGGACTTCACCTCTGGTTACGCCACCACTCGAGGGAGGAGGAGGACACAGCCCACGTTGTGCCCGCGGATGGACCCGATCGTCCATTACGCGACACGTGAGTGGCCAAAGCCCCTAGCGGCCAAGAGGCCTGCTTTGGGCTACGGTATGTACTGCAACGTGCAGGACTGGTCCTGGACCGGCGGGGTCCCGGACATCGAGGATTCGGTCCGCATGGCCCTGCACCCCTCCGCATCCGTGTGGGCCGGCACCAGACCTCTCCTTCCCTCCGAGCGGGACAGGACGTCTTTGGCGATGCACGACAGATGTTACGCCAATGCGGCACAGGTCGTCGCTGTGGCGAACAACATGGCTTTCATCACGGGGGCCCTGGATAGGTCGCTCTCTTCTGGCCAGGCGCTCAGTGGAGACACCTTATCTCAGGCAAGGACCACTTCAGCGGCGATCCTGCGCATGTGCCAGGCGCTAGCTGTCGATGGCGGCCGCACCATGGCAGCAGCTCAAGTCGGGGCCAGGCACCTCTGGCTTGGGCTTGCGAACATCAGAGAGGCGGAGAAGAGGCAGCTGCTGGACCTGCCTATCTCCCAGACGTCTCTTTTCGGTCCGGACATGCAGACCCTGGTGGCTAGACTGGAGACCGCAGCCAAGGACTCGGCTAGCCTAGCCCAGCACCTAGCGCCGAGGCGCGAGGCCCGCCCACCAGCGCGGAGCCGAGACAGAGGCAGGGAGCGTTCGCCCGGGAGGCGCCCTGGCCCATATCCACGCTCCGTGGCCTATCGTCCCCCCTCGACGAGGCCCCCGGGTCCAGACAGACACACGGGAGGCTCGCGGGACCAACGCACCCACCGCCGACCTCCCTATGGTAGAGGAGGTCGGGGTGGGAAGAATTCTTTCAATAAAGGCCGACCGGCATTTCATCAGTACTCGCTGTCTGAGTCTCATTTGGGGGTATGTAACATGTCAAATGATCTGAATTCTGATTGTGTTACTTATCGAGCACATAACGTGGCTTCGCTAGGCCTGCAGCCCCCAGAGAAGGGTGTTCCGATTCACGGGTTCATGCTATGCCCTCCCAGAGAGAGGTCAGGCGGAGGGATCTGGTGAGTAATGATGTGTGTGCTTCGGCCGAACGCGTGTTAGCATCTCTGAGCTACAAGGCTAACACGGGGTTTCCCACTCCAGGGGCTCGCCCCCCCCCTCCATGAGGCAAGAGCCAGGGGGGGGCACAGCAGCCGAGTCACGTGTGGTGAGCAGTCCCGTACTTATGACGTCGGGCCTGCAGAACACGTGACCGCCCCCGGCGCTCACGGTGTGACGCAGGGGGCCCCCCGGCCCTTTCGGCCACCCCCCCTCCCTGCTAGGAACACCAGGAGAGGGCGGGGCCGTGACGTCTCGTGTTCCAGCTCCCGTTCCGCCCCTCACAGACTTCTACAGCATCTGGAGGGAGCAGGGCCTACTGACAGATACTTGGCTGGAGAAAACGTTGCGCAGGGGTTACGCACTGCAATTCTTCCGAAAGCCACCACCATTCCGAGGCGTACGGGCAGCACGCTCTCAGGTACGGGGATCGATAGAGGCACTGCAAGCGGAGGTCTCCTCTCTGCTGAGTCGAGGCGCAGCAGTGGAGGTAGACCCGCAGGACGCCACCAGGGGGCTGTACTCCCCTTACTTCTTAGTGCCAAAGAAGTCAGGCGGGGTGCGTCCCATTCTGGATCTGCGCGTGTTGAACGAGTGCATTTCCAAACGGCAGTTTCGGATGCTGTCCACAAAGCAGCTCCTCGAGTGTGTCAGGGAGGGAGACTGGATGACATCCATAGACCTGACAGATGCGTACTTCCACGTGCCCATAGTGCCAGAACACAGGAGGTTTCTGCGCTTCACGGTGGGAGAGAGGAATTACGAGTACTGCCGTCTTCCCTTCGGTTATGCACTCGCGCCTCGGTCTTTTTCCAAATGCGTGGAGGCAGCACTGGAGCCGCTCAGACGCGCAGGGGTAAGAATTTTAACCTACATAGACGACTGGTTAATTCTGGCATCATCCAGGGAAGTGGCCGTGAGCCACACGCACTGGGTCCTGTCCCACATACAGCGTCTGGGCTTTGTGGTGAACAGGGAAAAGAGCAAGCTGCAGCCAGCTCAACGCATGATTTATCTCGGTCTGCAGTTGGACTCTGTGACATTCCGTGCTGCATTGTCCGTGGACAGACGGATCAATATTACCCGTCTGGCCCGGGAGGTTCTGGCGGGCCCCAGAGTCCCCGCTCGGCGCCTCAGGTCCCTGCTGGGAATGATGGCGGCGGCTCATGCTGTGGTGCGGCTAGGCCTGCTCCAAATGAGGAATTTTCAGAGGTGGTTCTCGCGCCTCAGGCTTCACCCCTCCCGGGACGGGGGGAGGCTGATCTGGGTTCCCCAAGTGGCAGCATCGGACATCAGGTTCTGGCTCACTCCGGGTCTATTGCGGGACGGAGTGACTCTGACCTGCGCCGTGTCTCACGTGGAGGTGTTCACGGACGCGTCGCTCGAAGGATGGGGCGGGGTCCTCGGCCAGAGCTCTGTAGGAGGCTGCTGGTCGGACTCAACCCGTCACATCAACCTGCTGGAGATGGAGGCAGTGCACAGAGTACTGCTGCACTTTGCTCCTCAGCTGCAGGGGAGACACGTGATGGTGCGCTCAGACAACACCACAGTGGTCTCATATCTGAACAGGCAGGGGGGCACCAGGTCCCCCGCTCTCCATCACATGGCGACGGTGACGCTGCTGTGGGCGGCGCTTCACCTCCTGTCTCTCAGGGCGCGCCACGTCCCGGGGGTCCGGAACGTGGGGGCCGACAGGATGTCCAGGGGGGGCCCGCTCCAGGACGAGTGGGGCCTGGCCCCGCAGGTAGCTGCGGAGATCTGGCGGAGGTTTGGCCGTCCAGTGGTCGACCTTTTCGCCAGTGCAGAGAACGCACAGTGCCCGTCCTGGTTCGCCTTAAGGGCCGCGGACGAGCCGCCCTTAGGCGTGGACGCTCTGGCTCATTATCCCTGGCCAGGCGGCCTGCTGTACGCTTTTCCACCGGTGCGTCTCCTGCCGGTCCTACTGCGGAGGATCGAACAGGAGAGGAGGTCGGTGATCCTGGTGGCTCCGGACAGTCCGCATGCCCGGTGGTTCCCCTTCCTGAGGGGCATGGCGGTGATGGAGCCCTGGGCCCTCCCGGACGAGCCGGGGGCTCTAGTCCAGGGGGGAGGAGCCCTGTTTTCACGCCCGATAATCGGCCGCAGGCTCTGGGTTTGGAGGCTGAGAGGCGGAACCTCGTAGACCTGGGTCTTCCCCCTGCGGTGGTGGAGACCATTCAGGGGGCGAGGGCGCCGTCCACTGTGAGGGCCTACGCCACGAGGTGGAGGCTCTTCAGTGTCTGGTGCGGTTCCCGTTCCTGGGATCCCAGGCGTTGCCCGCTGGAGGGGGTCCTGGGATTCCTACAGGAGCTCTTTGACAAGGGGAGGGCTGTCGCCACCTTGGCGGTGTTCGCGGCAGCCATTACTTCGGGTCACGACGGATTCGGGGGGTTCACAGCCCGCTCTCATCCGTTGGTTAAACGTTTTCTGCGGGGGGCGCGCAGGAGGAGGCCCCCGCTCCAGAGAACGCCCCCGGTTTGGGACCTCAGGGTGGTCCTTAGGGGGCTGTCGGGTCCGCCTTTTGAACCGGCGGCGGAAGCGAGTCCCGAGTGTGTCGCTTTTAAGACGGCCCTCTTGTTGGCGTTGGCGTCTGCTAAGAGGGCGGGCGATTTGTGTGCGCTCTCTGTCCATGCGTCTTGCCTGTCCTTTGGAGAGGGCGACGGCATGGTGGAATTGTGGCCCAATCCGGCTTTTCTCCCCAAGGTCATCACGTCGGCCTTTAGGTCGAGAGTCATCAGGATAAGGGCTTTCTATCCGCCACCGCATGCCTCCCCCGAGGAGGAGCGGCGGCACCTTCTGTGTCAGAATGCTGAGGCATTACCTGGCCATGACGTCGTCATTCAGGTTGGGTGGTCAGCTGTTTGTGTGTCTGGGCCCCAAGAACAGGGGCGCCCCGCTGTCGGCTCAGCGACTGGCGCAATGGGTCGCCACGGCTGTGTGGCGGGCGTATCAGACGCAGGGTCTGGCCCCCCCGGTGGGCTTCAGGTCGCATTCCACGCGTGGGATGGCGGCCTCTACGGCCCTTCTCAGGGGGGCGTCGGTCGAGGACGTCGGTCGAGGACGTCTGTCGTGCGGCTTCTTGGGCGTCGTCCTCCTCTTTCGTCCGGTCTTATCTTTTGGATGTGTCGGACCGGTCGGTGGCCCATTCCGTGCTGAGTGCAGCGGACTGAGTTAGACCGTTAGGTCCCTCCTCTGAGGGTGCCTTCGGTTTCTTTCCGCCCTGGTTCAGGAGCTCTTGGGAGAGGCATCCTACAGGTGCGGTACATATATGTGTGTTTGGTCGGTCAGGTAGTCCACGTCAGGAGCTCTTGGGAGAGGCGTCCTGGGACTACGGATGACCTACGATCTGTGTTACGTGGGGGCATCCTTGGTAGGAGTGGCCCTGTAACACGCTTGTTTCTTCTGCCCTGAGTCCTCTCACGGTGTGAGGGTCTTGCTCGGGCGGAGCTCCAATCACCCTTCGCTGGCCTGCTGGGAGTACATGTTCCTACGGCCTCCGCGTTGTGTCCCACTAGCGAAGTCCTAAGGGACGTAGCACCATGACGTAGAATTAATAGTTACCTAATGTAACTTAAGTTCTACGAATAGGTGCGTAGTCCCTTAGCTACGAGCCCATCAGGCCAGCCCGGCTTGGCAGAGTTCAAGAGGGGGTGCGGCCTTGTGCAGGGGCATTTATAGAGGATGGTGGCTGGTGATTGGAGCAAATTATATTGATCTCTCTGGCGTGTGACCTGGGGGTCACGAGTGATATCCCACTAGCGAAGTCCTAAGGGACTACGCACCTATTCGTAGAACTTAAGTTACATTAGGTAACTATTAATTATATGAGCCATAGACATACATTTATTTAATCGCTGCCGTCGGGATGACACACAGACTGACACGCTTCAGCTGAGTCAAAGTGCGTTTCCTTCACAGCCGCCGTAGATAAAGGCTCACATCTCTGAGTTTCTGGGTTGTAGTACAGTTTGTGGAAAAGCGCTTTACACGGCCCTGTCTTTGGGGGGATACAATGATAATACAATCATTTTACCACTGTTATTTGCAATTTAGATTTTTTTGTATTTTCCAGTATAGAAAAAAAGAAGGCGTGGGCAAAACTGGACAGAGTAAAAACACATGTGGCACATCCTCACGTCCCCCAATAATGGAAAGTTGGATGTCAACTCAAAATAAAATGTCTATACTTTCCATTAGTTCAATTGAATCCATTACATTTTGAACTAATGATTTACCGAGACAACTTTTGATTTTATTTTTACTGCAACTCAACTACCAGTGTTTTTTTAAATGTAATCAAGATCAAAGCAGCACATGAACTGCAAAGTTTATAGGTCTAACAAAAACAGCTACGGTCATGATCCACGACGCTCAATTTTCTACAACATTTCCCTTGGACTTTGAAAACTGCTGTGAAAAATGTGTGAAAAACTCTTTTCACTGTTGATTTTTGTGAAAGAGTAATGCTGCTTTGCTTTTTAATAATCTAATCAATGTTTTAAAGTGTAGAATGGGTGGTTTTATTATTAGTGTTCATCTCCGTAAAGATTTCTCAGTGTCTCATACTTAATTTTAGGAGCTTTTAATGTGAATCTAATGGATGTCGTCTGAGACACAAATGAGAATAAGTCCAGAATCATAAAAGTACCAGGGGAATGGATGGATAACAACAGGAACAGTTTTTCAAACATTCACAGAAGCATAAATGCAACATTTTATTGTGTTTATGATGATGTCATCCCTAATCATTTTTACACGTTTTCAAGCATTCTGCTTCATCTATAAAATTATTCTGATTTCCTTGGCAGCCTCCATAAATAAATACTTCACAGTTTTTAGTGATTGTGTTGAAGTAGAAGCGTGGTACGTGCGCCTTACACAGACCTGGGTCTGATGGAAGGAGACAAACTGCAACGAGAGAGAGTTTTACAGGACGCTGCGATGTGCAAATCAAAATTATAATATTGAACTTATTTTCTGTGATACGTTACCATTAGATTCTGGTTGTGCGACAGTGCGCATCTGAAATAAAAAAAATATATATTGAGGATACTGTTACTCTAACATACAACATAATTAAACATTATCTGAGTATTTACCCGAGGGCCTCTGAAAGGACAGTTTAGGTGACACTCTCTCTCCGACACAAATCTGTTTTTGTTTCCATCACAACCTCCATATGTGAATAATTCACATTTCTGAGAAGTGGAGTTGTAAAAGAACCTTGGCAAATTCATGCGACAAGGACCAGCTTCAGGTGCCACTGAACATTCTAATCCATAAAGAGAAGAACACCTGTCACTGCTGCGGCCATTTCATCACCTCCTCTGAACATGAAGGAGGAGCTGTGTCTCCCCACGCTTTTCTAAACCACACAGTACATACACTACGTGTGTGAGACCTACCATCGACTGCTCTGCCTGTTGCAACAAGTGGAGTAATCTACAGTTTAAAAAACACAGGTTAAATCTAGTTATAATTTGATCATCAGTTTATTGGACTTGGTGCTCACCACGTCGCTGCCGTCGGGATGACACACAAACTGACACGCTTCAGCTGAGTCAAAGTTGTTTGCGTTTCCTTCACAGCCGCCGTAGATAAAGGGCTCACATCTCTGAGTTTCTGGGTTGTAGTAAAGTTTGTGGAAAAGAGCATTACACGGCCCTGTCTTTGGGGGGAGGTTGCACACCTCTGCACAGACGAAGCCAGTGGTGAGACGTTTTACACTTACTGACTGTATGTATGAAGATGAATACATTACCAGTTGAATTGAGTGGAGGAACAGCTCGACAATACATCTGACAAGAAGTTGAATCTTTGAATCGGTTTGCATTGCCTTTACAGCCTCCATATATAAATATTTCACATTGTCCAGAGGTACCGTTGTAGAAATACATGGGCATGTATCCCATGCATGGTCCAGACTCTGCAGGTAAGTTACAGGCTCCTAAAGGTTGAATTAGGGTCAATAAAACCAAGCAGCAGAAATATTAAAGAATATCATAGTTGTAAACATGTCTACTGCTTTTTGGAAAGGATAAAGACAAGAGAAAATATTACCTTTGTATTTTAGAAGAGTGGAATCTAAATTCACCTTCTGTAAAAGCACAACATTTGACTTTTAACAATGATGGAGCGCGATTGGTTATTGAACAAAACAACACTGACCTCAGTGACGGCAGGACGATAGCAGGTCTCCAAACACTTCTTCTTTGACCCAAACCTGTTCTGGTTTCCTCCACAGCCTCCATAAATGAACTCTTCACATTCTTGAGATGTAGAATTATAGAAATACTGTGGCATGTAGGCCATGCAAGTGGGATTCGAGTCCGGACTGAGCTGGCAGAAGTCCGGAGTCTTTAAAAAAATTATAAAAAAAAAAGATTCAATGAACATCTTACAGATCCCCTTTCTGCTGCTGCAACCAAATGGCCCCTCTGAGATAATATAGATACCTTGAACCTTGATAGTACGTTAATACACATTTGTGCTGGAATTATTTAAATTCTTTGCAAATATGAAACGGGACTACATTACAGTATCACGTGATTAATATTTCAAGATGTCTCAATAGAACAAGAATTATATCAACATTTTTATTGCATTGTTGGTGAGAAATGTTGCAATTAGATACATTGACAAGCTGGCGCATTCTTCAAAATAAGCTGAAAGAGTGGTCCTCTCCACATCAGCGCTGCAGTGACCGATAAGCCATACTTCAGTTTTATAGCAAAATGTACTAATCCAAAGTTATATCTAAAGCCAAAAGGTCTGCCATTGTATCCTGTGAAGCACTAAGCCAAAACACATGATCATGCATGTGGTTTATGATTGTGTTTATGGGTATGTTTAGGGTTTTTCCTCTCCATACCTGATCCTTGTCAGCGCACAGTCCACATGGCATCAAGGAGCAAACCAGCACCAGAAGACAACCCAGGATCACAGAACTCTCCATCGTGCTGCATTTCACCCTGGTCTCCTCTCGCTTGTTTTATACCAGTGACAAACTCCACACACGACTGAACTTTAGAGCCAAATACATTTCATCATGTAAATATCACCACCCTCGCAAACAAGCAAACTCCTACTCTGTCAAACATTGCATCCCACATTACACATTGACCTGCGTAGGAATAACTGAAGAACCTTTTCCCCACTACTTTCCATTGTCAAGAAGGCCTCCCCGAGGTTTCTCACTGTTCTCCCACTGTGTTTTAGAGTTTTTCCTTGCTGATGGAGGAGGTTCTAAGGACAGTGGTGAGGATGTAGGACAGATGTCTCCAACCTTGCTCACCCAGAGAGCTACTTTCCCGGGTCAATAAAGGTAGAGAGTTACTCTTTTAAGCGGCCCTTGGAACAAAATGTGGTGATGTATTGGTGTGAACAAGCCTGATATTGGGCACAGTGAACTAGTGCACAAAGTAAGTGCATTTACAATACTAAAATATGAGAATGAGTAACACAATCTGAAATATTAAGTATATTATTTAATTTTTTCATTTCAAAATCCTTTGGCGAGCTTGCTGGAAGGGGGTGGCATTTGACATTTAATCTACTGATAAGAATATCTATGGACCAACAGCTCTATGTGTGTTTCATCATTGCCTTTCCGTGTTTGAACCTCCAAGATAACTACTGTTGTAATTTAGGGCTATGGAAAAATGATTTGAATATTTAATTTCAGCATCAACAGAACGAGTTTTGTAAAAGTACAATGCTGTGAACATCTCAAATCACCCTTTCTCCATTTTATTTGATATATAACTTAGTAAGAAAGACCCCTGTGATTCATGCAAGTGGAGACTAGCGACAGAAGAAAACCGTTTTGAAACATGAAACTGGTTGCAGAGAGTGGACTGAGTTGGTGGAGCATAAACTTAATAAAACAGAAACATCTGCATCCTGAACAAGCCGATTGCTTTCCCTTGTCTTTTCTTTTTATTTGAACAGTTTCTATATTTATTGCCTGTTTTAGACAACATTAAAAACATGTATCATGAGTGAAGTAATCTGTTTATTATCATCTTATAGACAAGACAAGGGAAGTTTATTTGTACAGGACAATTCATACACAGGTCACGTGGCCTCTGTGTGTGGGGGCGGGGCTTCTCGTAAATGCATCATGTTTATACTCTGGATCCTTCCCAAAACCTTTCTGCTGAATAAGAGAAAAGTTTTATGTTTTAATTTCAGTGAAAGATTCAGTGATTCACCGCTGACGACCTGCACGACAACTACAACCTCGCACTGCTCGTCCCTTTTTAAATTGTTATTAAAATACCGTTTACCTTTTTCACATACCGTATATCTTACACTTTAACATGATTACACATTTCTTGTCTTTTGCACCTTCTGAGTGATTCTATTGAAACCCGACATGTACATTTCTGAGAGATAATAAAGTTTTATCTTACATCTTTTTATGTTTCTCTTGATTTTTGTTTGTTGTGTCAAAAAAAAATAATGCAGTACTAGGGAGTGAGACAGAATAATATACTTAAAAATTGAATTGTCATTTTTATTTTTTTAGGATGTCATTGTGCCCTATGTTTCTCGTTGCTTTTGGTCCTTTTAAATACATGTTTAAAATGTGATTATACTCATTTCCCATAGTCATCTTCTAACATTGAAGTAAATTCTGATTGCAACAAGCCAACTGAGCCAGAAGGGGGCAGTGTTGCTCATGCAAAGGAGACTGGGGTCAGCTGATAAAACTATAAAGCACCTTTCAAAAATAATGTTGTTTGTTTCTAACATAAAGAGTCTTATTATAAAACATGTCATCTTTTGCTAATCTGGATGAAAGAGCCATGTGAGACAAAACAAGTTACAGAACCACTGTTTGTTTTTACATTACACCCCAGACCTGCTTGTTGCAAATGTAATGCTACTGTTGGCCAATCATTATTTAGTCATGCACCAACTGTGCAAGTCCTACCACTTCAAAGGAGGAGAATTGCCTGTTTATATTCATCAAGTATACCTCAACTATGAGAGACAAAATGAGAATAAAATCTTGAAACTTGCATGAATTTTGAAGAATTTATTTGCAAATTATGGTGAACAATTATGGCTGTCAATAACAACATTATATCCCAATACTTCATTATGTACCCTTTATTAGGAATGACAGAGGTCATTTTATTATATTATTATATTATTATTATTATATATTATTATATTATTGTCATTTATTCTACTATTATTATTTTTCACCAAAGCCCAGCAAGATAAAATTAGCAATGGGTAATGATTGTGGCAATGACGATGATAATAGTGATGATGATGTGTATATATATAAACCCCTTTTTTTTTTTTTTTTTTTTTTTTAGTAAAATATATAGACTCATTTGACCACATTCGACATAGCACCTATGCACCCCTGCATTGCATACACATTCACATACATATACAGAAACTCCGCAAACCAAGGCTGAACCGAAACAATAAAAAACGCAACCCGAATAATTTTATTTTTTTTACTCTCCCCCTCCCCCCCAACCCCTCCCACCTTAACACCTACTATATTTGTAAACCGTATATATTAGATTTCGAATATAATTTTGTTTTATTTCTTTCTCTTATGTTTTCATTCTTGTAATTGTATTAAAATGTAATAAAGTTAATAAAAAAAAAAAGGAACGACAGAGGTCAAAGGCTTCCCACTGTTGCTGGGATTTTGGCCCGTTCCTCCTGCAGAGCTCTTCGAGAGGAGCGATGCATCCTCAATGCTGCTGGAAGAACGTTTTCTCTCAAAATATTATGATACATGGCCCAGCCATTCTTTACTTTAGACAGATCAAGCGCCCTGATACATATACAGAAAAACAGCACCAAACCATGATGCTTCCACCCCCATGCTTCACAGTATTAAAACAGGTTGTTAGAGAATATAAAAAATAGACACATTAAAACTAAAACACAATATTGCAGTTGAAGTTAGATGGCAGCAGCTCCATATACAGATGGTTACAACTGTTGTGTTCATTTGTCAGTGAGCTGGTTCTGTGAGCAATTTGGAACGCAAAACTTAATAACATAGTTGAATAACAAAGAACACGTTTTTTTCCAAGCAGGCTTCAAGGTTTTCCAGAGATCACATAGATTGATTGATCATGATTTCCAAATAAATTTGGAAATCATGCATTGGGCAATTGCAGCATCCTCCTGCAGGTTGTAACTGACTGGTTCAGGAGGTGCCTCGGTAATAATTGATTAGACTATTGTAATGATATCTCCACAATTCTTCCTAAATTAATCCTACGCCTTTATAATTCTGCTGCAAAAATCCCTGTTTCAATCAATCAATCAAACTGTATTTATAAAATTATTTTCATACTAGAAATGCAACACAAAGTGCTCTGCAGTCATGCCTATGACCTGACCACCCAACAGACCTAGATACAACCATCACCAAAGGAGTGTGCACCAGGGCAGAGAATCTCCTGCAGCCACAGGGAACGAAACAGGACCCAGGAGAGACAAGAAGCCGAGGCTCCAGACCTCCACAGGCACAGCGGACCACAACTTCCAGTTCAGATCTTCAAACCTCGACCTCATTGATGTTCATGTAAAACTCAAAGACTGTATATACAGTAGATGGACAATGCTAATCAGCACTTCCCTATTGGGAATTAAAATCCACATACGGTAGAAAATGGGAGAGACTGATTTCAAAGAAATATGAGGAAATCATCCAACGGACTGATGAAGAGGTCTGCTCTTTTTCAATGTTGTTAATGAGTTTTATGAAAGATCTGTACACGTTTTATGAGTTTCTGAAGTCAGAGATTTTCCACTTGATGTTTTGGTTTTCTCAGGTTGAAGCCAACATGTCTTTTGGCGCAATGGCAGATGCTTAGAGGAGTGTACTTGTTTTGTCTTCTATAAAGTCAAGTCCACGCTGCAAAACTCTATTTGTGTCTTTTTACCAACAAACACGTCGGTGTTCAAATGGGCTTCTTCCACATTCAGCAAATACTATGGATGACATCAGCGTCCACAACTTTGGGGTGTGCGGTAAAACTGAACGTGGTAGAAGCATCATTCAAGAACAAAGTAAGCACTCACTGTTTTTTAATAGACTTGTCTCTAGTTTAAATTATGTGCAGTGGTTTTTTTGTTTCTTTGTTTTGTTAAGTACAGTCCGTTGCAGTATGATGAATGGAAGTTTTCAAGTTGAGCCAACGTGTTCCCATAACTAATAAGCATATTTGAAGAGTTAAAAGAAAAATACCTAAAATTCTGTTGTTCATATCATTACTTCTAATCAAATATCAGAAAAGAATCAAGGCTCAATTTAGTTTTTCCTGGTATAGAAAGAAAGACCATTTTAACTTTTTTTTAATGACAAATTGGGTTTCATCTTCCTTTCTCCACAAACAATTGTTTTTGGGCGGACAAAATATGACTCATATAGTGTAAAATTCAGAAAATAAGCATGCATGTTCTCTTTGGTTTGCTAAGGAGCCAGGCTTCCTGCTTTTAGTTCCCAGAGTTTTCGGAGGCTGGCAGGAGAATGCTGGGAATATCCGGAGAGGAAGGAGAAGTGACATCACACCGTGACCTTCCGCACCAGGCCGTATCACCTGGTGCTAGTGCAGCGTCAGACACCAGGAGAAGTGTTCCCATGAAGACTCAGAGGAAGCCATGACTGAACCGCAGCACAACACTTTCCAACACCTTTAGGCAAAATATATCTCTGTTAGCCCCTTAACTGCTAAATATAATATTTACCCAACATTTACTCAATACCCACCTCCACAAAACACTATCAGTAGGCAGGAGCACCCATCCCAGTGGCATATAGGCAACACAGATCTAGGAAAGAAGGCCAACATTAACGCTGAATCTCTCTGTATTAATAACACTGCTCTCCTTCACACCTGGTATTAGAAGACAGGTGAGGATCCATTCGTGGGAGCGGATCCCTCCCTCAATGTGGGCCACCCAGAG